TAAATACACTTTACGACTTGAAAATACGTGAATATCCAAGACAAAATTCTATAAACACTGAGAACGACTAGAAAACAAAAAAGTACTACCTACAACACAACCATAATAATTAGAGATAATACGCGACAGCACTGAAGATAAAGAATCATATATGCATAGAGAACTGGAGTTAATTGAGCATTGCCAACGATCTAGATAATAAAAGAAAAAAATTACAACAAATTTTGTTCTAATGACAACTATCATACTTACTTACTTCACGTTTTTGAAAATAATCGTCGGCATTTTGTAGAAAGGGCCAAAGCGATTTCGAAAAATTTTTCAGGGTAGCGTATTATATTGCGTACGGTTTAAAATTTAATTCTAAAACTTGAACATAATTAAAACTAAAATTGAATTTTAAAACAGGACTTAAATATTTTAAACAGTCGTTAAAACCTAAAACATGCTTCCCTGAAAAAAAATTCAAAATGGCGTTTACGCCCTTTCTACGAAACACCGCCGAATTGCATCGCAAAATGCTAAGTGTCATGTTATGTTACTTACACAATCTAATTTTATTCTAATTTTTATATAATGTAGATGACGACTGCACAATGTGCGAAAAATTTACATAATATGTTTATGTCCATTGTTTTGTTTTCTTAATTGTAACTTTAAAAGCGTAATATGTAAATAAAATAAAAAGAAATGAAATAAAAAACCGACTTCAAAATTTTGCTTATCCGGTTTGGTCCGGTCCGGTATAATTAAAACGCAGATGGAAATTCTCGACAAAACGGATCACAATGATAGCTCCTGGACACTGTTGAAGAATTCTTCTCATTTGTCTGCCATTTCTATTATATCACATCAGGTCTAGGTCGCCATTTTGTTTTCATTGGAATTAGGTACCTACGGTATCTAAGGTATCTATGCCCCAAGTTTTTTAGTTTTTTTATTAAATCGGTTAACGGAAAACCGGGGAAATTCAATAAACCGGATTCATCCTCTAATTTGCCACCCTTAGAGGTAGAATATTTTTATCAAATTTAAATGGCATTTATATTCTTTTCTAACAAAAGAAGAATCATCGAAATCGGTTCATAAAAGTCGTAGACATCGCGTAGCATACACACACAAAAAATACAGTCGAATTGATAACTTCCACCTTTTTTGAAGCCGGCTTAAATTATGTTTTAGGAAAATAACGTATGCCATTGACTAAATTGTATTTGATGTAAAAACGATAATTTACATCTTTTTTCTAATTCATTTAGTTTCCAGAAAACGTTACTTTTTCAATTATGTCATGTTTTATAATAATTGAGAGTGCAATATAGAGTTATTTCAAATCGAGGTGAGATCTAATTTATGAGTAAATGGTAATCTGCCATCATACAAGTTAAATAATTTTAATAACAATTTTACACTATCGGGTTCTAAAGCTACAAACTCTCGGAGAGAGGCATCGAGAACATTCGAGAGGCGTGAATGTGAGCTACCGCTCTCGTCGTCCGGTGCTCGCACTCGCCTGTTCTTTGATCGGTGTCTATATTCTTGCCCGTTTAACAGGGTTTCTCGGGCGAGAACGAAAACGCTATCACATTCTTGCGGTCTTATGCTGGCTTCCCATAGCCCGTGATTTCACAAGCGCTGACTTGAACGGGCGAGCTCGCGTCACGGGCGAGTCCGGGCGGCCTCGAACCGAGTTCGGGTATTCCGTTCGAAGATGTCATATAAAGAACCCGTAGCTATTTCTGCAGACACTTTTGTATTATGCAGTGGCTTCAGCATACTTAATAAAAAAAAGATAACGAAACGACGTTAGTGGATCAAGTTTTTATTGAATGTCAGGTTCTTTCACCAACACGATAATCAATTATTTTTTGTGAATTTACTCCACTAACGTGACATCTCTCGTCAGCGGCTGGTAGTTACCTCCCTGAGTGAAGAAAAAACTTTTATAGATGTCTAACAGATGGCGCTACGGGAAAAAAGTCAAAACAAAGATCTGCAACAAACACATGGAAAAACTCGTGAGGTCCGTTGGTTCGTTCCTTTGCTTAGTTGGCATAACGTCTGTCACGGTGTGCTGGTAAACGTTGGTTGGAATCCAACTGGTTTGAAGTGAATTTTTTTTAAGTCTTCGATCTTTGCTTAATAATTATAACAGACGTTAGTGGATGTCATCATTCCACAAGAGCAGGTCGAGTTGTTAAGATTTTTTTGAATTGAACGTACGTAGCTTGTTTTAGGCATTCATACTATGGGGTCACAATTCGAATCATTTGAACGCTGTCAAATACCGAATGAGTCCACGCGCCACGTCTTTGAAGTTACCGACCAGCGGGAGATTCCAATTGGCCGCCACGGGCGAGTACAAGCTCACTCGACGCGAACCGTGAAATCAAGGGCCGTGGGAAGCCGCCTTAAGTGTTTGGGCCTACTTTTTACCTTAATTTTATTTCTAATTTTAATATTCACAAGATTATAGTATGCCAATGCACACAGTACCAAAACCGATGCACTGTCCCTGACGAACAAGGACGAGACTTGAGGCTATCCTAAAGGTGGACAGTTCCGTGTGATCGCGAGAAGTGAGTCCTAAGGCTCTATTAGGTTTTAGCTATTGCTACACATAGGAAATGAAACTATTTTATCGAATCTAACTTGCGTATATTTGTTTTTCGTGAGGCTGAGTTTTTTATGATACCAAATGACGGGACGAACAAGTCTTGCGCCTGGTGCAAAGCGACACGCCTGTCCATAGCAGTTGCAAAGTTTTGAATTGCAAAAATCTGAAGGGTAGTGCCACTGCGCCCGCCACCCTGAGAAATAAATTGACAAATACCACGTGCCTGTAATTTCATCAGCACTTTTATCCTTCAAAAGTAATGCTCACATTACTGCATGGCGGCAGAATTAGGTGAGGTGGCTTTACTTCCTTGGACGAACCCTTTCGCAACGAGCTCTACTGCTACTTGAAACAAATATACATAATTTGGATCCGAAAAATACTTTCATCTCTAATCTTACGTTAGATATTATAGACAGCAGGGAATTGTGTGATTATTTGCGATCAGTAATTGAACTATCTTTTGTAGATGTAACTATTGCTCGAAATGCAGCCATTGAGGTTATAATGAGTATTAAGAACGATCTAATAAAAGCAAAAAATGACAACAACTATGATAATAATGTAATACTGGAGGGTACTGAAGACAGGCAGTCAGATATACTGAGCGAACTGCAGCCAGTACGTCGCGTTGAGCACTGAGAACAGCAGCGGGAAAAAGACGCGGGAGAAACGGTCTATGTTGATCGCACGCATGCGAGCTTTGGCCGCTTCCGCTGCTTCCTGCAAAAGGAAAACAAGTTAAATTCAAAAATCAATTCTTTTACTTATTTTTCTGTTGCTTGCTATGCACGATGTAAGAACGGGATGATACTCATGAAGATACTTGATAATGTTATAATGTTATTTGATCCTCTAAGATACAATTGATCTATTGTAAATGTGGACTCAATCGAGAGACAAAATAAATTTAATCATTATTAAATTAATCATTATTAAATTAATCATTATAAAAGATGACTGTTTAGATTCATAATTGCTTGCCGCTTTAGAAAATTTAGAATGATCATTTAAATACATGCCCTTGATAAATAATCAATTTAGTTATAAATTATAGAGCAAATAAACTAAGGATCTTTATGCTGGTCGTAATTTTCGTTACATGATAGAGGGTTTATGATATATGTGTAGATAAAAGTCTTTTTTTACTTAAACTTCGCTAGTAAAGCAAAACGGCAGCGATGTTTTGGGCAACCCATTACGTATACTTCTTTACCGAAAATTTTTAACCACGCTGATGGTCTTTGTGGCCTTTGTAAGGAGAATTAAACGATTTCCGATCGATATAGGTAATTGCGTTGGATCCGATTCATATTCATTCCGATTGTCAAGAAATCTCAATCATTTATCTAAACTATTTTAAATATGATTGATTACTGTGTTTTGATGATTTCTACCATTTCATATCGATCCTTTTTGGAATTATCCAAAGAGAATATGATATATGGTAAAAGGAGTAAAATTTTGCTTTGCTTATCCAATCGAATTTTCAGATTTACGTGGTCAAAGCCTACGTCCTACCGTTAGATGTATCTTTAACTTCTTTCTATAATGATTAGTGATTCAACATCTATTAAACAGAAATAGGTAAGATGGCAGGACTTTCCTGGACGAACTTATTTATTTATTTATTAGATTCGCCAACATAAATACACTATTAAACATGGACGTAAAATAACACTGCAGAAATTACTCGAGTGTAAACCAAGTAATAGGCAAATACAGCATGTACGTAATAAAACATCGTATCAGAAGTGTTTACTGTGTGTTATGTGTTATATTACATGTAAACAAATGGATATGATTGTAAACAAATAATGTAAATGTGTTTAGTTTAATTGAAAAGTTACGGAATTGTTAGTCTCAGCAGTTATACGATAAAGTTTTAAAGAGCAATGGCAAAATCATAGTTAAAAGAATTCATTAGTGTCTTCAAATGTATTAATTACAAGTTTGAGTAAAATATCTGTATTTGAGTAAAATACCTGTAAATCGATTAGGAAATGAAACTATTTTTCCGGATTTAAATCGCGTATATTTGTTTTTCAAACAAACCGACATTTCGGGCCCTTTACAGGTCCCATGGTCACGGTTGACTGACTTTCATTTCGTATGTGTAACAATCGCGAAAACCTAAGAACTCGATATATATTGATTAGGTTGTTTCAAAGTATAATTTCTTAGTTTCTTAACGTTGAACGTCATTAGGCCGCCAAAACAAGAATTTCAGTACCTACGTAGCTACGTATGGATATGGTCCACATTAAGTTAGTTCACGTAATATCAAATGTACCGATTTCACAGAATAAGAGACTACTATACTATAACTACTAGTAGATAATTCCTTCTCCAAAATGCCACGTGAGAAAATAGTAAATCTGACAAAAAAGTTCCTGAAATCAGGAATAGAAAATTTGTGTCCAAGTTACTTACTTTTTTCGTTACAGTTTAACTTCGTGGTTTTTGACCGCATCAGAATAAAAAATAATTTCCTCTGAACTTTCGTCACAAACCCACGCACCATTCAGCTTCTATTAACTCTATTTAAGGCTTTTGTAGTTTATTTTGATATAACAATACATCGAATATATTTTATTCAATTACGTAACACATAACCTCCAAAACTTCAAACTGGAATATCTTCAATTCCAGACTTCTCAGAATTGTAACCTCAAAACAAAATTTGTTCAGGAATTTCATATTTTCACATATTTATCATAAACAGACGCATACAAATTATGTCATTAAAAATTTGTATGGGAGTTTGCCATTGTCCTTTATTTAATGAATACGAAAACAAATCCAAATGACCTGTGTTCATACGTTTTATGTAATTTATTGTACTTTTTCACAAGGCGCTCTATTACTACTAAAATAGGTTACGGCAGTGTAAATTTTACCTTAGGCTTTCCAGCGCCATCACCAAGCACGATGTTGACCAAACAGTATTCCATCAGGGCCATAAATACAAACCTGAAAGCGACAATATAAACATTTACCGACTTTCTCTTCACTTTTCCTATCGACTTCTAAACCAGGTTTTGGGGGAGGTGAATATGAGAATCGACCACGGTTCCTGTTTGCGCATTCAGGTGCCTAGTTGAAACATTCGAGTTTTTTGTCTGTCGATATTTTTCAACTTACATAGTTTCACCTTCAGTAAAATTTTTACAGACATAGATAATAAACAAGGAGCAAATAACTCACGACGATGTTCTAGAAAAACTCACACGGTACAGACAGACATGAAGGCGTCGACGGCTTTGAGATAGGAGACGGGCGGGAGCTGAGCTTGTGACTTGGCATGTTGCGTAGACAGCGTGAGGAGGGACGTCACTCCGAGAGTCACTCGCGCTGGAGCTGCGTCTGGTTTGATCCAGAAGGATACCCACTGGTAAAAGATGATGTCTATAAACACTTCTGCGCTAGGTACGGTGGAAATCTGAATATCAAAATCTGCTAGAAGTACCAAAAATTGTTGTTGAAAATTGTACTTTGACATTTACAAAGACTTTAAATTTGTAGTAAAAAGGCATGGTACAGTTTTTTTAAGGCAAAATTCGCGTGATTTAAAAAAATTAAGTTACGATAAACCGAATTCAACAAGTAATACACAGAGTTCATAATACCTTCCTCAGAAAGCCCAAAATGATTAGAAATTGAGGACAAAAAATTAAAAGCAATATAGTACATCTTTACTCACACCTAAAAAAAGTCTTTATTCTAAATACCTTAGCTAATAAAGTAATTCCCAGTTGCATCAAAAATATAGAACAAAATATCATAAAATAAATGTGAGATTTCGGAGATAGGTCGCGTCCACTCTATGTACTACCTATTTCTGATGATAACGAAAGCAGTACCATATATACAGTTTATATTTCAATTTTACCCAAGTTTTTCCAAAAGGCGAGACACTCAAAAGGTTAAAAGCTTACAGACATAATGACGATCAGGCAAGTTGGGATGTAAGTGTTGAACAGGTGGTACCCGAGCCGGCGTTTCAACTTGAAGATAACCTCTAGACACGTGAAGTTGCCTGCAATTAAGCAAAGGTGTTTCATGAGCTTTTAAATACACGGAAAGCTACGGTGCGCGTTAAGCTCGGTATCAAAGTTACTACACTTCCTCCTCCTCGCGTAGTATTCCTCATTCATTACAGAGTATCGTTCTCCCTCGCGAATACAGTTTCCGCATGACATCTGTGGCGGAGACTCATGCCGAAAGCCGTACCAACTTGGTCGGAAAATCTTGTGGGACAGCGACTCCTCAGACGTTTACCGCCGATCCGTCCGGTAACTATTGGCTGCGAAACGTGACCAAAGAAATCAGGTATCTTACGGAGACATAGGGTGGATAGTCTGGTCTAAACGTTAAGCTCCCGCAGAATTGAGTCGTTGGTGCGAAAATCCGTCCAACGGATTTACAACATTTTCCTCCAGCACCACATCTCGAATGCGTCAATGCGGTCACGTTCCGCCTTTTTTGGTGTCCACATTATCATATTTATTAAGCTTTATTTCCGATGTAATAAGAGTGAAATAGATGTGTGTTTCGCACCGATTCAAGACGTAGCTCGACACACGTCGGCAACGAATCTGCTTTCTGCAAATTTCTGATCGCGTTCGTACGCAGCCGATGACGGCTGAACGGTGTCGATACCCAAACGACCGCGTTGACTACGCCCGAACAACCACACTGACCCGAACAACCGCGTCGACGATAAATAGATTTAGAGAGAAAAGGTACAAACGTATCGATGCAATCACCTATAAATCCCAAGTGTAGCGACTGCATCGCTATTGCATCGCGTTTGCATCGCTGCTACAAGACATCGTGTGTAACCGCTCTAAGTCATCCCGCCATTGCCGACGTGGTCTGTCGTAATTTTTTTAAATAATTTTATTAAATATATTTTTAGAACCCAACTTGAAGAATATGAGAAAGTTATTTATGTAATTGATACATAGAAAAGGTCTTCTACTATTTGTTCCTTAATCATGTGTACACTTTGTTGACTCTACCTAGATCCCAGTTTCAGCCTAGATATTTTACTATTACACATCGTAAACGTTAGCTAAGTACGTCCATATTTGGAGTAATAATCTCACTAATCTTTATTACGGTTAGGTTATACGAAGTTCAAATACGTATTTATTATGCTATTGTTGAAATATGTTATGATGGTTATATGTGGTTATAAGTAAATGAAAAATGACGCATATTTCTGATTGCTATCATTTGTTTAAGGATCTCAGTGACTCAACGGTTTGCATTGACGCTAGATGAAGAAGTACTAGGTTCGACAGTGCAAAATTCTACCTTTACCCTGCCTATTATATTAAAGAGGCTGCTGCATTTGTCCAGAAACATGCGTCATATTTTGAAATCACAAATAAAAGGAATCATAAAAATTTAAGACATGGGCATAGAATAGTTTACTCGGGCGGTCATACCTCAACATTTTACCACAAAAACTTTTACGTAATGTCGGTCAAGATATACAATTAGTTAAAGTATTCCGAATGAATTTAAAAAACTCGAGTACGTTAAATTTAAAAATGCTCTTAGTAAATGGTTGAATACTAAACTTCATTATTTATAGCGCACAAGAGCCTTTTTTCTTTCATATTCTAATGTATTTTAATTTTAATCTGTGACATTTAATACATTTACTAATATTGTACACCTTAACTGGTAGACCATAGAGCACAAACCAATGTATATTTAAGACCTTATGTAATGACCTATAGTCATGCAAAAATGTATTCTTAGTCTTATTCGATTACCAATAGAACCAATTTGTTAACGATCTTTATTACACTGGTTTTAGTCTGGGAGTTCTGGGTAGTGCGCTGGAGTCAATTCCGTTTCTCTGGTACTTATAGTACAGGGAATTTCCTACTTTAAGACCCGGTAATTGACGTCATTGACTAGCTAGATGTCCAATGACCGTCTTAGGGCTTTTCCAATGAGTTTTATTATGAACGAAACGTGTGTTCCAAGTCGCGAAGCCGTTGAATACGAACAGTCATGTCTACATCAGGTTCTTTAACAACAAAGGTTAAACGCATCAAAGACAGAAATGAGAATGAGAAAATTGTTCTGTACAGCATGAAAAGTGAATTTTTCAGAACTTAATTCTCAGGTATTGAATCTTAAATAATATTTTATGCAATCGTTTTATAATGAGAGTTCAAAGTCGAGAACCGTGTGCCACGAGGCTTTGCTGAGTGATCTAAGATTACGAGATTTTAAGACCTAATTATATAATGACTGCATACTTTTTCTACGAGTAAATAAAATAATGAAACAACCAATATTTCATGTATATTTTGTTAATAATTCATGACAACAAACTCAAAGTAAACCCCAAACAAACGCTACAAAACAGAAAATCAAAGAGATAGTATAAAGTGGCCAAGTACCATTGACTTACAATTATATGGACGTCGGATCCGCGCTAAAAAGTGTCCGCACTTGTAAGGCGCTAAAATCGTATACAGAGCGCGACACTCCGCTTTAGTCTTCATTTGTTCTACTGACAGCGCGATACTGCGATGACATAACAATTTAAATTTCGAATAGGTTGACTTGGACCATTTTTTTCGTGGTTTTTGTATTAGACCCGTCGTCCATTTATTTGTAAGTCAATGCCAAGTACCGTTATTTTTAACCAATCATTTTTTTTATAAAGTTTTATGGCCCGGTTGCAAGACATTTAGGCCAATTTGACCAATAAGGAGGCAATACAACGTTTGAGTAGCAACATATTTGATACTTTGATTCAAATTTTCACGATTTTGACACATTATTTGATTTTTCATTCTGGACTTATGGAACTTATTTTAATTACCTCGACGTTTCGGACGTATTGCAACGTCCATGGTCTCGAAGGGACTGAAGAAGTTTTTCTAACTACCCGCACTTGATCTTCATTATTTATTTGTGCACAAGGGTTGTCACTAAACCCACACACACTACACTCACGACATCCGGCGACCTGTCGGGCGATACTTGATGTCGTTTACATTTGCCGATAACTGGACGATGAAAACTTGAAACTGTCTTCTCGGTTGAAATTACGATTCAATTAACATATTTGATATTTTAATTAGCAAAAATACGACGTACTTTTTTTGAAACTCAAGTTCTGTGCACAGAACTATAATGAAATATTTCATTCAGGTGCGAGTACCATAGACTACAGAATTTTGATTCAGAACTAACAAGAGCGTGTTTGCGATATGGTTTATGAAATTTTATTTGACACATTAAAGTACAGGAGTAGAAAAATATATTTTGTACTTGACAACTAACATAGTATTATCTCAAAAATTGCGTTATATTATATTTTTATCTGAAAATTACGTTACATTAATAAATTTATCTCCAATCTTCGCTATACTTGTATGTCATTCGTATACGATTTAATTTCAAAGTTACAGGACAACAATGTCGCTTTGAAATTAAATAAGTAATAATAGGGGTTAAAGTATGAAATTGCCGATTTGTACTGAAAATCT